TCCCAACCAAACATTTATGCACTTGCATACGTGCAAACATATATATGTAGATTGTGCATCAAAATTTTTGTAAATATTAATTCAAGTTTATGTTGAAACTGTTTGATGTTGTCCTATAAATTTTACATGCAAGGGATTTATATTTATCGAGCATTAAATCAAATTTATTAACTCTTTGAGATTATTTTAAGCAAATAAATATTATTCATCGTTAAATCAATTGATATTTTTTTCAAATTAATTTTGAAAAATTATAAAGTTCTATTTGAAAGAAATCGAATTTTTTAATCAAATATTTGGCAAATGATAGAAAAATATGAAATACTAATTTTTTTGAACGTATCGCACTAAAAATAAAAAAAAAATTACACGATGTTACATCGTAAAAATACCTATAAAAGTAGTAAATATCCGAATTTTTACGATGCAACATTTAATATAATTTGAACTAAATATTTTTCTGGAATCAAGTAATTTTTTCTTCAGTATGTCTCGAAATCCAGATATACATAAAATGTTTATTATTTTTTTCCGGTACTTATCTTTACCAAGAACTCGAGCATCCGTGAGTCCCAGCCGCAGCGGGCACTAATAACAGCGACGTCGTGGAAAAAGTTTAAAAGTTATTACTCTCATCAGCAATTTTATTTTCCTCACTCATGCATTCAGCAATATAATTATAATTAGTCCAAATAAAATAAATCGGGAGAAATGTATGTATGTAAACAAATAAATTTACAAATGTAGCGTTTAATTAATATAAATTAATATACACTCGAATAAATAGCATGTTACTACAATTAGTAGTTAAGTAAAAAATTGATAGAATTTATTGTGGGTTTTAAAATAAACGAGTTCATAACAGTGGAAAATCCCGGTGATTTATGAAATAACCAACTGACGTTTATTGTGAATAGCGGTAACGATGGTCCGTGAAAATCCAATCATGAAAATATTAATTTTTCATTCACTATGGGTGCTTACATTCACGGAAATTTAAATTTCCGTATAAACAAATGAGATTTAATTGATGAAAAATATTTTTAAGGCTAATCGTTTTATTTTTGTCGTTGAACAATAAATAGCTTGTTTTAAACAGTTTATATTAATTTTACTTTTTTATCCATTATTTATAATCAAACCCAACGGATTTAGACAGTGAAATTTAATCGGGTTCTTGTTATTGAAGAAATTAACTGATTAAAAAAAAAAGGGGTCATTTAAACTAATCTTTAAAAAGTTATCGTGTTTACAAGTTATACACACCACAATTACCAAAAAATTTTTTTAACTTGTACATTTTTTTCATTTCAATTTTTTCCTCTAACATAACGAACCGATACACAATATTTTTTTAACAATAATGACTTGTTGCAGGCATCAAGTTTCTTATCTATTATTTTTTTTTGTACAAAAATTGTTTCAACTATCGTGAAAAAATTTTCAATTACAAATTTATACTTTGACAGTAAATTCTTTAAAGCAAAACCACTCTAAAAACTTTCCACCCTTAAAACCAAAATTATTGTCACGCTCAAACATCCTTAAACTCCCATTGCTCCTCTCAGACAGGTAATTGGTATACAATAAAGCAATTAGATAATTAGCTCCCATCCCTTGAAATTTGTAACCAAGATTATTAACGCAAAGTTGTAACCGGAGTAATAACAGGTATATAATATATAATAGACGCAGAGTGTCTATTCGGGGTAAGTAAAAAGAGATCAGAGGCTCTACAAAGTAGTTGCTCGTTAGGAGCCAGCTTGTGTCTGTGATTATCCCATATCTCCTCTGTGTGTCTACTTCTCTCTGTAATTAGCTAGATAAGTTCACAGTTTACAGTTCCTAGTTTACGGTTCACAGTTCACACTATGATGCACTACTGTTATGTTTCAAACTTTATCATGCATGTGCAAATAGGTCACCTTATACTCAAGATTCCTTCGAACTTAGTCTGATGCTCACCTTGATATCATTATCCACCGATTTCAATACTTTCCACCGATTAAATTCACGGCTGATAATAACTAGGGCTGCGAAGGGGAAATATCTAATACAATCAAAGGATCTCTTTATTATTGGAGGTATTTATAAATGCGGTCGATAAAATACCCTGAGAGATTTATGAAAATAAACATCCTGAAACTCCTGAAGGAGGGCAGGAGGCTAATGAAGAAAAAAATAAAAAGAAGGCGAAGAAGAAGAAAAAGAATCCTTGGAATTTTGAATAACTTGTTCTTGGATAGACTCCCGATAATTGAGGGGCTTACTTTATTTAAAGTAAAGATTCAATTTACTTATTGGAATTCACTCGAGAGCGAGCTTGCACCAGTTAATTAATCTTTATAATCCATGGATCCATAGATTCCAGGCTGCACAACTCAGGACTCACAGCTCACAATCCGTAATCGTTTATCTTTCTTCACTTTATCTTTATCTAGCTTCCATAATATAGACGTTGATGTTGATGTAGACGCAGCTTCTATACAGCTCTTTTGGTATCAGCTACGGCCTCGTCTAGCTTCCTTGCTTTCATTGTGATTAACGTACGGCAAATTGATCAATTGGTTGTCTCAGAGAATGAGCCTTAACTATTTTATAACTTTGTACACCCCAGACTCCGCGACTCCACTGTATCCATTATTCACAAGTTCTGTCTGTGCTTCACTTTGTCCTGTGCTTAACTATTTATAATTGTACATTTATCAGTAATTGAGATAATTAGTAACAATAACTGCCGGACGGCTCTCAGGCTCAACTTTTTGCTATTGATGGAAAACAAAAGTTTTTAGTTGTATTAGTAATAATCGTGATAACTTGGTTGTTTCAAGTAAAGAGCATATTACATTGATTCATTATGCTGCTAAAATATGGTGAATTTAGTTATTAAATTAATTTACCGTGTGAGTTCTATTTCGCTTGATTAATTTAATTGCTTTAATTTGCAACTGGTATATTCAAAATCTGAATTATAGGCTTCATTATTAATTTATAGTCTCAAAACTTTATAAAAGTAAGTTTGTGAAAAATCAATAAATTTGAGATAATAGTTACTTTCTTTTTTAATTTTTAAAGTATGTTCAAAAAAATCGAGATTTGATAAAAACTCTACTATTGAGAATTTAATCAAAGTTAGTTTTTATTTTTTTCTTTTTCACTATAACTCACGAACGAATCAACCGATTTTGACCGGCCTGGCGGCGATCGACGTGGTATTTTGATGTTAAGAGCTGATCAGGTTTTGGAATTGGACAATAAAGCTATTTAAAAGTTATTCCCAAAAAATCACATTTGAAAAAAATTTTTTTCTTAGTTTTTTTTAGATTTCTCAAAATCTACCGGTTCAAATCAGTCCAAACTGCACTGAGAAAAAAGTATTTTGCTACTAAGGATATTTTTTTTGATAACCAGAATACTTGGTATTGTGCTACTAAGAATACGTGGTATTTTGACTATCACAATAAGTATACTGATTATCAGTATACCAATATAACAGAGTATTAGATGTTTATAATCTCACTTTACTGGCACAAATCAATAGATTTATAAAGCTAACAAAACAAATTAAAATTAAAATTAAAAGTGTAATGATAAATTTTTTTCAAGCTAATATAATAAATATTAGTTGAATTCTATTTTTACCAGTGCATAAATCAAATAAACTGACTGTTATAGTGTTAAAACGTGTATTAAAAATCTAAGTTTGGTCTAGTCCTTTCGAATGGCGCCTATCGCGATTAAATCGGTCAAGCGGTTCAAAAGTTATGAGCGGTTTACATACATTCAAACACACCATCGTAAAAATCGTCAGGAAAGTTTCCTAGGACCTCAAAACGTCGAGATCTGATGAAAATTCGATTTTCGAAAAACCGGATCAAACCAATAACCGATTTGCGAAAATTTTCAATTTTCTTAATAGGAAGTTAAAAATATAAAATAAATTATAATAAATAACAAAACATGACAGCAAAAATATATTTCGTTTGTTTGTTCTATTTATACTGTATCTTATTTTATATATAATATACGTGAAGAAACAAAATGCTCGAGCAACTAGCAAGCTGTCATGCTCATCAGTTCTCCTGTCATTTTATATATTTTTACTTCTATTATCATTATTATTTGTAATATTACCATAATTCCACCGTTCTCATTGTTATTTTCGTCCTTATTTTTTATCATTTCAAAAATTATATTTTTTATCCATAACCGGACGTATGTATAAATTTACACAAGAATAACGGAGAAAGAAGAATAAAGTACACATTTTAATTGTCAGGAAAACGTCGTTAACATACACTATACACATCAAGTTATTTTCTCGAGAAATTAAAGTCCAGGTGGAACAACGTAACAAGTAGTGCTAACTATACAACGTATACATATTTATATATTATATAAGCTTACTAGCTAGTGCAGCATTCCTTTTCTGATCTAGACGAAGAAAAAGAGATAAAGGATAGAAATAAAGAGACTTATAAGGAAAACAAATAAATAATATTATTGCGCATTAACCTGGACTGCTATGCTCGTTTTATTAAACGTAATTTTAGTCTGTCATGTTTGAGAGCGAGACAGGTAAATAAGTTGTTATTTTTACCCATATCCGTTTTATACTCCCCTGAAACAGAAATTCCCTTTGCTGTAAATTCATTAATTAATTAAAGTGCCTCGAGCGAGTAATAGAAAAATACATATAATATTTCGTAACAACCGTTTTTTTTTGAGCTATTAAATTATTTATTGCTGCATTACGCTGGAACAATATTAAATAAATAAATACCCGAAGAAAATTGAATAGAAATGTTAGTTTTTGCTCGGTATGGTAAACAACTGAAGCATAAAATAACAGTAAAGTAAAAATTTATTGCTCAACATTAAACGAAACGGAATATTCATTCAAAACGATCGGTGATAATTAGTCGGGATAATTGAAATAGATTAAATGATCGGGGGATTCTTGAGGAAGGGTATAATGGTCCTGTCGACTAATTCCAGAGATTCCAGAAGGGGAAGGATTCTCTCATCACCGGGCACCGGCATCCACAGAAGACCTTTCGCCACAAGTCAGAGGTAGTCAAAGCTCCTCAAGCCCCAACGACTCATCCGCCCAGGTTGAACGATGTTTGAGCCCCAGTCTCATTTCCGTGGGTTCTTGTGTCTGTCGGATCTGTCATCGTCCAAGCGGAATTACCGAGAAACTTGTGTCACCTTGTAGGTAAATGCTCTTATACAAACTTATGAATACAATTGCTATCTTCATTTCATTTCGCTTATTCATGTTTACTTTATATTAATGGAATTTTCTTGTTATATTAGGACAGAATAAAATACATTGATAATTACTTTATTTAATTGAAAAGGATTTAGTCTTTTATCAATTATAACTAAATGATTATTTTTTTAACTTTAAAGAATATATTTTTTTAAATTACATTTACTACACAGAGAAAAAAATTAAGTTGAATCAAGAAATATAATTTTGAAGAACTTTATTGTCTTAATTTGAGAAAAAAGTTCTTAAACTAGGAAATTTTTCTTGGTTCAAGTTAATTTTTTTTTCAGAGTGAATAGTAGTACACAATAATTTTAAAATTTATATTACATTTATTCATTAAGATTTCATCCTTAAATTTCTGCATGGAAAATAATACAGAAATTCTACAAGATATTACGTTAGAATCCATATATAAGTCTCGACTTAATGTTCACTTTAATTTTGAAACTATTTGAAATTTATTCACAAAATCCAATACAATGAAATCAATATAGAAATTAATTTGAAATTCCTGTGCAAATTTTTTAACTAAGATCTGCTTATATTTAATGGAATACACTCGAAAGTACGGCGAAACTCGTGCATCCCTCTAACAAGTGCTTTTGATAGTAATCATTTTCCATCAAAGCGTAGATAGACGCGTACTCAAAGAAGGAGCACGACAGCCTGAGAGAGAATAAAGAAGATGTAAGAGTGTAAAAGGAGAAAAGTGGAGGAAGCCTAGCATTGCTTCTGCTCCTTCATTTCAATGTTCGCATAAATGTGAACTTCAAGGCGTGTATACATTGAAATAACCTACACAACGACGGCAACTACTACACAGCGCTGTTGACGATGAAGACGACGACATTATAAGATTTTCCTTTATTACTGTCAACATGTGCTACTTTTAACATTTTCTATAAGCAAAACTCGGTATTACATTTGCAAAATATGCTATCAGAATTCGCTTGGATTTAGCACGCCTTTTCTCATGGAAATATACTTTTTTTTAGTACAAAAATTTTCTATTATGTTTTCAATGTATTCACAAAAGTATTCAAAATTTCATAGAACAGTTCGTCTTATTTATAACTTGGTTAATGAGTTTGATTTTCTTATTTAGCCAAAGTTTTGCTTCAAAGTCGAGATAATAATTACTATAAAACGTTTAAATACTTAAAGATATTAACTGTTTTGCATTCAATTATAAATTTGTTTTATGTTTATAATTTTAATAAGCAAAAATTGAATTTTACGCTTAAATATTTTTTTGAATGTGTTTGTCAATTAATACGTCTTATTAAACAAAAATTGGTTTTAATGTTGATTAAACAAAACACAAATTTCACACAACTTCTTTTAAAGAACGAAAAAAATTTTTTTCATTTCAAAATTTATGACTTGAAATTTAACTCTCATATTACGAGACAATTTAGGGAACATACGCCCTCTGTCAAAGATTTTTAACACTACATTTAATCGAATAATTATGTATGGTCATTAGGGTGTGCCAAAATGTAACTTCCTTGATGGACCTTTTAAAATTGGAATTTTGAGTTCCACTTTTAACAGGAGTTGTGTTTAGGCAGTTCCTGACAAATTTTGGGCGTAAAAGATTTATTTGATTTATATAGAATTTTCTAACAGAAGTTTTGTTCGGCTAAATTTTGAAATTTTTAAATTCCAACAAAAATGGCCGAACGAAACTCCTGATAGAAAATTCTATAAAAATCAAATAAATCCTTTACGCCCAAAATTTGTCAGGAAATGCCCAAACACAACTTCTGTTAAAAGCGGAACTCAAAATTCCAATTTTAAGAGGTCCATCAAGAAAGTTACATTTTGGCACACCCTAATGGTCATATCAAAAAATATTTTCATGGGTAAAAAATTTTTCCGACTGCCTATATTATTACATAAATTGTCTTTTTTTCCAAAAATTTATAACAGCATTACATAAAACGCACTTAAGAAGTAAATAGAAGTATAGAACAGAAGTACTAAGTCGGATAATACCCTGTTATTATTGGATTATAAAACCTAGCAGTCGTCAGTCGTCTTTCCTATTCTATATATATATATATATATATATATATAATATGACTGGCAGTTAATTAACTTCAATTATGAATGACAACTGTCGACGTTGGGGTTCGTTACTATTCAAACATTCGTCGAGCGCAGAGCATAGTGTATTATTTATGTTCATGTTCACGTTGAACTCCTGTTAACCCTCAAGGTTCGTGTGATCTTGAGCACCCCGGTAGTTTTATTGTCTAATCGAATTAAGTGTAGGAAGATCCTGAGATTTTAATCACCCCTCTGTACTCTCTACTCTGCCGTAAATAAATAAATGAATAGAAATCCAAGAGGCACGTAACCAAGTAACACATAGCGAGTATTACGGGTAAGTAAAGAAGATCCAGCCGTACCAAATTTAGTTACCGGAGAAACTGGTTAACCAAACGTAGACAGAGATTCTAAAGGTTTAACGTTGCTACGCAGCATCAACTTAATTTTTACACTGATTTCAGTTGTAATTGTAATAAAGATCTCCTCTCTCGGTGCACTGGTACGGTCTTTAATTTGCTGCTCGAACGTAACTAAGCTCGAACCCTGCGTCTATTCATTTTCATTTCGCCCGTTTACGTCCTATGTATTTTATATTAGTTAAATATATGTGTATATGTGTACATATATATATATTATACATTGTGACACAGCAGAGTATAATTGCAATTGCCGACGCAGGTGCAATCGCCGACATGTTTCATAAGTCTTATATATTTAATATGTATGTATATAGTTACATAGTATATACGGAAAGGCTATAGCAAATTGATCTTTTCTCACTCACTTTGGACGTACACCGGTTAACTTTAATTTAATAACAACTTTGTTTACGGAATTTAAACAATTGACGTTATTTAATTATTACGTAACTTAACTTGTTTTTTGTTTTTCTTGTCATTAAATTTTATTGGAGTGAAACTTCTTTGCGCGCGGTAAGGTTAAAATTTCACGCTCCCGTCATGATAATCATAATATAAGCGTAATGATAATAATAATATGAGAAAGACATTTTTAAATTTCAAAAGACGAATAGAAGTGTATGAATTTTGTGGTTTTTTTTTACAAAAAAATGGTTTGACCCAAAATTCTGTAAAATAGTACGGCTACCCAATTTCAAAACACAGTAACTGACATTTTAAAATTTTTTCTACTTTTTCTTATTAAAAAAAAGTTTACCCGCCAAATTAATGAAAAATTTGATTTATGAATAGAAAATACTTGAATATAAATATTTTTAAGAAAAAATACTTGAAATTAAGGTCTAAAAGTTATAAAAAATGCAGCAATATTAAAAAAAAATCAGGTATAAAAATTTTGCAGCTACTGTGTTTTAAAATTGGGCAGCCGAGTATTTTAATGGTATAAATCTATTTTCAAAAATACAAAAAAAAAAATTGTCTTAAACAGACTTTCAATGACCACGTAAATTTTTTTTTATTCACACAAAAAAATATCTGTAAAAATTAATCTCTTAAATTGAAGTAATCTCACAGTAAACCACAACAATGTTCAAAATTTTCCAACGCATTTTACAAAAGCACTAATTTTTCCAGTAAAACCAGAACTCTGCTCGCAACTCTAAACGCGTGAGTACGATTAAATTCCGCAGTGAAATGTATAATGACATTAAATGTATGTAACGGTTTTGTAATGAATAACTAGGGCTTGAATTCTGTTAATTTGAGCCATTAAATATTTAGCGTACCCTGGGCTGAACAGGCGGCCATTGTGTTGTCTAAACAGCCTGGATGTTATGATGTGTATACACATAGATTATGATGTAGAAGCAAGAAAACACATAAATGGACGTTCCGGAATGTGTTATAACGGTATTTGAATATTGACGATTAAGCAAACAGTATACGGGGAATAATCTGAACCGGCATATCTATTTTCCTAATGTGTTGCCGAACTACTAGTGCAGTGTTCTGTAGTGGGAAAGCTTTCAATTGCATTTCTGGTAGTAGAATATCGGGTAGTGAATTCCTCCAACAGCCAGACCAAGTGCCTCCAGATAGTTTGCCAAAACTGATGACATATATAGATGATGTACTACATATATATATATATATATATATATA